GAGATGTGCGTCCTTTTGTTAAATTACCTTGCTTATATGCTGCTGAATTTCCATTATATTTTCAAATTGCACGTGAAATTTCCCACTGTAGTTGTTATATAATTGTTGGTATACACGGCCTTTTTAGTGGACTTGAAACGTCCTGTTCAATGCAGCAGAGAATAATAATAATATGTCGGTCTTAGATGTACAATGTTTGCATTAATGTGAAAAAATGTTTTTATAACTACAGTAATAAAAAAAATCATTATATTTTCCCCCTCTTCAGTTTATATGCACCAAACCAGGAGTGGTCCACAGATCCCTTAAAAAAGAGGGGTAGAAAAGTACATAAAAAAGCACAGTACTCTAAACCAGTTTATTTTCGATTAAAATTCCATGTACATTCCTCTCCGTGTCTATGGCCAACACCACCCCCAGTTCAGCGCTGCACATCACATTCCCCAGAATATTCTCTGGATCACCCTGTGCACAAGGCTGGGAGACGCATGGCGGCTATATCTCCATGTTCATGATACATGTCCCAACTAGCTGCGATACGTGGACTGGATAGCTCATAACTGAATCTAATAAAGTTAAACAGCATATCATAGATCGTCATACGAACGGAAGAGGATGAAAAACATTCCTGTCAAATTTGAAAGGGTGAAAATAAATATAAAACAAAGAAAGTAGATAAAACTGTACTTTATTTCTGTATAAACATATAGGCGAACAATCCATCGCCTGCATTTGACATCTTATGACCTACTTCTGTCCTTGCTCCGCAGTACATTCGTATTGGCGGCGTACAAAGACTTTGAGATTGACCTTTTGGCTGGCAGCCAGTTTTGTCATAGTTACTTACGACGAACATGAGTGAATTATGTTATGCAACTGTTTTAGAAACCAGTTTATAATGCCCATAGTGAAAAAAACAAAATGTGCGAGAATTATTTCGTAGACGTAACTACTGTAGGCCTATGTACTGATTAGCGGAATTCACGAGGCAGTAAAAAAGGGTACACGAAGCTAAATAAAATTATCACCATCTCTTATGGGGAGTCATTGTTATTATCACAGACTGTCTGTGTTATTATCAACGTAACTAGACTTAAGCCTACTAAGTATGCTGTTAGCTGGGTGCGCGCTAGCGGAGTACGGTACGAACGATTGTTTTATCTGTCTATAGAAAAATGGAACATTCCAAGAAATAATCCCAACGCGTTGCCGACGATCGGTGATTACAGAAATAATCACTGCGCGTGGTCCACGGGTATACGCGTCGACTTATTTTGAGAGGCTCGAATTGCGACAATTTCGGGTACCCTTTAAGCAAGACATTCGTGTAATGGATAGTGTAGCGAATGTCCTTTACAAACCTATTGCCCTCCTTCCCTGCTTTAACATCTGTGTGCCTTCTCTTCATAACATTTCCTGTAACTGTAGCCTATGCAGAACGTTCGTTCTCCAAACTGAAATTGATATAATCATACCTTGAATCAACGATTTGTCAACAGAGGCTCGATGAATTAGCTGTAATCTCAATTGAACATGAAGAGGGGCAATTGTTGGATATTGACAGTTTAATTGACAGTTTCGCGATGAAAAATGCACGAAGAGAAGGTCTGTTAAAGCCCCATTCCCGGCAAAATTTCACTAAAAACAGATATTTTTGGAAAAGATGCAATATGCATTACTTTAAGCACAGTGATTACTGAGTCTACAATGATTATTAACATACATGCATGTTGTCAAAAGAGTTGAATGAATTAAAGGCTTATAATAGGAAGTCACAGTGTAATCTATCCTATTGTGAAGCTGATAAAAACAGGCCCACCCAACATTGTCCACCACACTGCCCAACCTACTTTATCAATGATATATTCCATTTTGGGTGGTTTTCGTCCTGGGTGGTTAATGTCCAACATTCGAAAAAACAGCGTTAAACTCGTGCTTGTCATTCACAAATAACCCAGCAATACATTGTTTATTCCAGTAAGCTACAGCAGTCTTTCTGCACATACAAAACAACACACTTTTGCTTCGTAGGTTCGCTTTGTATGAGTGGATTGCAAACTTGACTTATTAGGAAGTGTTTTTACCATATTAGGTAATTCAGGGCGGGCTCTAATTATTTTTAATCTTATCAAGCAACTGGAGGCGCTAATCAAAAACAAAAACCTGGAAGAAGGTGACTGAACCACCACTGAGGAACTTCACGTCGCGAGGTAGAAACAAAATGTTGGAAACGCATGCGAAATTTCACTCTAAATGTATACACACACATGCATATACACACACACACACACGCACGCACGCACACACGCACAATGTGATTGCAAGAGTTCCTATTGCATTGCATGCATAGGAACTAAAAATGTTTAAAATATACCAGAAAAATCAGTTAAGATAACAAATTTGAGGTACTCATTACAACATTAAACTACAAAAGGGAAATTTACAAAATTTATATATAGTTAACATTCCATATAAATTAGAATACTGTTATTCATATTGTTTTGTGCAAATTTATTTCTGCAGCATCTAACTGGATGTTTCAAAGAGGAGGAAATTGCACAGATTGCAGCCAAAATACAGAATAAAAAGTAGGTATATTTTTTAAAGATATTAGGTCAATCATTTTCATATGTAAAATTACAGTTTAGTATTACCATGGAGGTTCTATTGAGATCACTCAAAAAGCATGCAGCACTATGCAAGTGAGCCAAGAGCAAAGCTGCCACAGCTTGTGAGAAAGGTTGCGCAGGCTAGTTTACCAAAAAACTGAAGATGGCAAAATGGAGAGCACCTTTTTTTCAATGCGCACTAATAGTCAGTCACTATGGCTGCGCAATCGTTTTCACCATGAAGCTAATACATTTATCTTTCATGATACACCAAACATAATTAATATTTTTACAAAAAAAAACGTTTCAAATTTAATGAAACATGAGCTTTAAAGTAGGGTATTTTTCAACCTCGATAATTATAATTCTAACAGATATTAAGGAATGACCACTTGTAGTGTGAACGAGTGTGGACTATTAAAATTTTCAATCCAAAATTTTCAGTTTTAAACTGCCTTAGCTTTATAGATGAACGAATCGATCTTTAAACAAAATTATAAATAAACACAGAAGTAGTTGAAACAGAAATATTTTGTGGAATCTGTTCCTGAAATATAGTCCATGGCTAGCAGGGGGGTCACCGTGCACCCCTTCCCCCATGGTTAAACTTCCTTAATAATTTTTTTCCCACGGTCATATAGAATGACATGAACAATTTTGGGATGCATTGCATGTACTGAGTCATTTTATGATGGTTGTTGGTGATTTATAGTAAATGAAAATTTTGGGGAGTGGGGTAACTTTTGTGTTCATAACTTTGTTTCTGTAAACAAATTACATGCATTTGGCACAAACATGTAGCTCAATCATTGGTACCTCAATCACATCAATTTTGAAACTTCGGAATCCGAAGATTACTGAAATCGCAAGGGCGTCGATCCATGGTTGAAAGTGGGGAGGACGAAATGAAAAATAAAGCCTTGGGCGTACGGCCCAAGCCTTGGTTGGAGAAGCCCCCGAAAGCTCTGCCGCCTATAGCCTTCTAATTGATTTTAAGCAATGCAATTAACATTTATTTTTATACAAAATTTTCAAAATATCCAGTGGCGGGTCCTGTAATTTGAAATAGAGCTGGGCCCATAGAGGGACTTTTAGAGATGGAGAGTGTAGACCACCTCAGCTCCACCATGGTTGGGGCTGAGGTAAGCAAATTTATGAATATGGCACCTGATCATAAAAAGTTTTTAAAATTATCCTTTTGTCATAATTACGCCCGCTCATATATTTCGTGCAAACTAACATTCATAAAAATAATGACTATTATCTACTGATTATCTTGTGACGTATTCAAAATTCGAACCATGAAAAACAAATAAGGTAAACTTAAAACAGTCATTAATTAATTAAGTCTTTTTGCATGTACAGTACTTTTAAAATCAATCAAGAGGTTTTTGCTTTTCTCCTCTTTTTGAATTTCACTTTTGCGTAAGTAATATTGCGACTAAACTATTGTGAGTGGAATTAATGCCGTCTAATTTAACGATCAAACAGGACTAGGGAGATAGGGAGCACACAAAACATTAGTTAGCATTTTGATTTCACAAACATAAAGGTGATTTACTTAATTTATCACTATCAGCTCCAGGAAAGCAAAAAAGAGGGGGGACAGGAAGGAACTTGCACAGCTTGGGAGAGTGAATCACCTCAGCCCCCATGGTTGGGGCTGAGGAAAGAAAATTTACAACTCCAAATTGCCGGAAATGGCACTCTTAGACCTAAATTCTAATTATAATTTTCCTTTGTTTTTTTCCATTTTTTAAAAATAATTTTGAAAAATTTGGGGTTGACTCGGTCCCACTTGAACCCGCTACTGATTATTATGAGGTCATTGCGAGATTGCATCAACGTAACACTGGAGTTTGTAAACTTTTGGTATCACTAAGTCGAAATAGATAGACATGTCCGTGTCAAAGGCTGTATAATTATTATTTAATAATGGCTATATAAAATTTAATTTACTAACTATAGTTTTTTTAAATTAGGAAAAACAGCAATCCTATGTATGTAGATAATATTTAACGTACGTATATACTAGTATTTAATATTATCTATGTATGTAGATAATATTAAACACTAGTATATACGTACAGGTCATAATAATATACAAAAGGAATAAATCGTTTATATTAGAAATTGTGCACTTTTGAGTTTGTAAAAATATTTGGCCTAATAACTATACACGTTTCCAATTTTAACAACGTTCAGTACATTGTTTTCACAATAAATTTAGACTCTGATAACCGCTGCACCCATAAAATCGATCTAGTGGTTTTTGAGATGGTTACGAAATGTATAAACAGTTGCGTTTTTACTGGGTTTTGGTCCGCAAAATATGTACCATACTTGGAAAAGTGAACAGACAAAATTCATGAGTCATGCGTAATTGTTATTCTTTGCATTCGCTTTTAAAAGTGGGGTTTTAATTATAAGATTGGTGAAAAGTGGGTGGGGGAAAATCGATGTGTCCCCCTACTTTGAAAAGTGGGGGGTGGGGGGACGTGTTCCCCTGTCCCCACCGATCGACGCTCATGATTAGAGGTCCAAAAAAAATTGAAATTGTAAGTAGATATTATCATTATTTATTATTGTATACACAGTAATATGGAATAAGAAAATTGATGGCCAGATGAAAAACACAGGGATATATTATATCACATCGCATGTGATAGCCATAGTGATTTATAGTAAACCGAAATGTGCTAATAACTTGTGTTTTCGTGAATAAATTTGCATGATGTTGATATTAACATATAACTTATTAGCTGCATAATCTTTTAAATTTCGAAATGTGAAAATACCATAATACCGTTCATCAGTAGAGGTCAAAAGGTTATTGACCTTTCTTACCAAAATGCAAATTGAAGTATAAAGTACCACAAACATTCATTTCAAATTCACGAATATTAATATACATTGATGAAATTGTACTGTAATTACTGATTTTTTGCATCAATATCCGGTTTTAATGGGTCAGTAAATCATTTGAAACAATTTAAGATGTGATCTAATCAAAATATTTTAATGGTATTGTATTTGAAATTGTTAATAAATCTGTTCCAGTCATCAATCCAAGGCGTAAGCTACCTCCTTGGTTCGACAAGGACCTCCGTACACTGTTAAGAATTAAAGAACTACTCTTCAAATTAAAAAGAACCACCCATCACAAATTAACTATAACAAATTTTCAGTTGCTAAGAAAGATTTTAAAAAGACTAGCGAACATAAATACCGGTACTATGAATATGTAAAGAAACTTGGCAATGATATGTCTTCTAATCCCAAAAGATTTTGGGGGTAGATTAAAACTACTTTACTGCAACAAGGTCAAAGCTCCTATGATCAACAATAATGATAAAAAAGTTATTTTACATAGATAAGGCCAACCTTTTTATCAATATTTCAGTTCTGTTTTTAATAACGAACACATTCACACATATCCCAATTTTCCCAATTACCCTATCGATAACTTAACATATTTTAACATAGACATTAAAGACATTGAAAAATTATTACGCAATATTGATACTAAGAAATTTTGTGGCATTAATGAAATTAGCAATAGTGTCCTTAAAGCTTCCTCCTTACCCCTTTCAAAACCACTCTATATAATTTTTAACCGGGCACTACGAAGGTTCTTTCCCTCTATGCTGGAAAAAGGCTAATGTATGTCCTGTTTATAAAGGGGGTAGAAAAAATAATGTTTCAAATTATCATCCCATTTCAAATTCCTATTACCGACCATATCAAAAATATTTGAACGTCTGATTCACAATTCCATTTCAAACCATGTTTCACCTGTTCTTTCTAAGGCCCAACACGGTTTTACCCCCAACCGTTCCTGTTCTACGAATATCACAACTCTTTTAAGTACAGCATACAAAGCCATTGAATGCCACTCTCAGTGTGAATTAATATATACCGATTTTGCTAAAGCGTTCGACAAGGTTAATCACGAACTACTTATTTAAAAATCTACAAAATTTTGTATATCTGGTAATTTGTTAAAACTTCTTGGCAGTTATCTTAGTGAACGTGAGCAACGTGTTACTTTGGAAGGAGCTTTTTCTACCTGGCTCCCCATTAAATCTGGAATTCCCCAAGGAACTATCTTAGGCCCTTTGCTTTTTAACCTATTTATAAAGGATCTCCTGTTAAATCTAAACTAACAATGCTTATTTGCCGATGACTTGAAGCTCATTCGACAAATCAACACCCTTGAAGATTCCCATCAGTTACAGAAAGATCTTGATGCTTTCTGTAAGTGGTGTGAAACTTGTGTTATGGTCATTAGTGAAAAAAAACTTAAAATTCTAAACATTAGCATTAAAAAAACTAATATTATATTCTCATACAGTATAAACAACCATGCACTTGATAATGTTGAATTCCATCTAGTTAGGTGTTGTTCTTGATAATAAATTGAATTTCAATCGCCATATCGTAGTAAAGGTAATAGAATGTTGGGCCTCGTTAAGCGGAACTGCTGGAAATTAAGGAATCCTAAAACGTTGATTGGTCTTTATACGTCTTTCGTTAGGCCTCAATTAGAAAATGGTACTATAATGTTTAATGGATTATGTAAAAGTCTAAAAAATTAAAAATTATGCAACATAAATTCCTGAAATTTTTTTGTTAATCGTGTAATGTTAGTCGTAATACTATTAAGTTATTCAGCTTAAGTCAGCGAAGGAATTATTTGGATTGTATAAATTTCTTTTTAAATGTATGAAGGGATTATTTGGTCCTTACCTCCTTTCTTTATTTGGTTTAAAAGTCAGGCCTCCGTCAATTTCTTCCATATTTCATTTTCTCGAACCAATATTTTTAAAAACGGATTTACCTAGAATTTTAAACTAATTTATTCAGTTAGACTCGCTCATTGATATGTTCTTTAATAGTTTGAATATTTTTAAGTACAAAATTAATTCTGTAAGTGGCGGGCTCCCCGCTGTTGAATGTAAATTAAAATTTTAAAAAAAATATGAGTAAATTCAAGATGGCCACCGTATATAAAGCCATATAATCAGTCATTGTATACCATACTCCCGCGAATAAGCGCCTTCTCAATAATATCACTAGATTTTCTTTCCAGCTAGTGAATAATCCAATCAATCCTGGGAATGTGGTTGTTGGCATGATTTGAGCTGCAGAGTTGAATCACATTCTTCTTAGGTCATTATCAAAATGAGGATATTTCTCTTGGACAGATGAGAGCTCCGATCCCTGGATTTCCAACTTTCCTCTTCTTACATATTTGTAAGGCCTAGTCATACTCCTCTTTTTCTTTTTCTGACAATTTGCACCTTTAGCACATTCTCATCTGAGTTTTTAAGAAAACCTGCAATGATCCTGCCATCCTGTTATCTCAAACAGCCAATGGCCAACAAGCTAACCACTACCCACCACCATTAATTGCATCTGCTCTGCTGTTATGTAAATATTCGCAGTATTCTTGTCATGAGCCATGTTCTCTGGACGATTATCTTTACCACCACACCACAATTCGTAATGTCCTTATATAATCTTTTTTCATTCAAAAAGTGCCTCTTGAAGTTAATAAGTTCCCATAATAACCCCTCGATTTTCATCTATTTCCACAAGCGCCCCCTCAATTTCCACTCTGGTTTCATAAGCGCCCTGTTTGAATGAATAAACCCCTCAAAGTGCAAAAAATATTTTCAGAGCCCGGGCACTTATTTCGCACCAGTACACTACTAATTTAGCAAATTCAATGCTATGTTTAGCATTTCATTTTAGATTTTTTTTATTAAAAAAAGGTACCCTGATCTTAGATCCTATTGGTTTCAATTAGGCTAATAAAAAATGGTAATTTTTATCTAACAAATATGCTTCATATTTATCTTTGCTTAAAGCAACGAATCGTAACTGAACTTTACAGTAATCTTTGATGTGGTAATCTCTGCTTGCAAGAGACCCACAGAGGGAGCGACTGACAACCGCACATCCATTCCTGGTGTATGGTACGTACTTGTCTTCAAGCATCTTCATCTCGCCAGTATGGTAGTGCAATATTTGCCAAAGCAAGTTCTGTGATTGAAGGTTTGTGTGTCTATATAGTTGACAACATGAAAATTCTGACAGTAGAGCTGAGCAGCGTGTAGCGTAGTAATAACATCTATGTATAAACCACCAGCAGTTGATTTCATGTTTCCACACTGTGTCCCACAAGTACCTGGTAAGCCACAGGTCATTATTGGCGACTTTAACAGCATAGTATCAAATGGGGCTACAAATAATATCAGAGATGGAGAATCAGTAGAGGAATAGATGTAATCTAAATAGTTTAGTCCTATTCTTGACCCCAAGCTACCGTCATCATTCTACATGCCTCATTGGAGATCTGGCAAAAACCCAGATTTGGCCATCATTACCAGCAACGTCACAGAACTTTTCCAGCCAAGCAAAACTAACCTGTGGTTTGAGTAATGCAGCTGTTAGACCAACAAATGTTCCCTTTAAGAGCCGATTTAATTACCGGAAAGTAGATTGGCAGGGTTTTTCTGAGGAGTTGAATAAAAACATAAAGTGTACAGCACCAATTACGCCCATTTTGAAGAACAGGTGAAGAAGATTGCTAGAGAAAACATTTTCTGTGCCACAGAAAGCTCAAAATTACATGGAAAATATGTCACCATGTTTAAAGAAGATCATTTTTCTTACTTAACAACGCAAATAAAGTAGATAAAGTTATGGAAAGCATAGTACAGAAGCGTACATGGCAAGCCCTGATGAATGAACTAATACTGTAAGACCAGAAACTTTCGCGAATTGATAATTTCGGCAAAAGCCCTAAACTTTATCCATGACAGAAAGGCGGGGAACACATTCGTCTGTTACTGAGTGATCTCCTTCCCAATAATATCTCCATGATAACCTGAAATGGGTTTCCCATCCAGCTTGAGCAGATTATTGATACCCATGATATATAATTGTGGAAGCAGTTTGGCACAGTGACAAGTCCTTGGACTTGTTTGAGGTTTAGTGCCTTGTATTTTTAGTTAACAGTTCAATGTCTCAACCCACTTCATTAATCTGTTAATTATCTGTTTCTAGACAAATACTTTTTTCACTCAGTATTATTTTGTACCTCCAAGGGTTTGGGATAGATTAATAATTAAGATCCTGCATCTTTCTTGTTTGTTGTTTGCTTGCAGCAGTAAGGTAGGCCGTCCCAATTTTCTGGAAACTTGTGTGAATTGCAGGGACTTGGAAGTAACTACATACCTTGCTTTGCATTTTTAGTATGTTTATGCTTATTCCACAATACCCGCAATTTCTACTTTATGATAATAAAAAAAATTATTTGTAATCACAGTTTTCTAAGTTTCTTTTGCTTGTAATATTATTTTTTTTTCTATTTCCAGGGTTTGGGTGGGTATCAAGCGCCTTGTAGCATTAGTTGAAATGGCACGGCAAACAAGTTTTCCAAATCGAGTTGCTAAGTTTTTAGTGCTCATGGAGGAAGAAGGAGGGTGAGTCGTTATTCGTACTTTTTAAATTTATTTCGAATTGTTTAGGTGAATACCAAAAAAATATTTTAATACAGGTATAAAAGATATGGGTTAGTTTTGCAGCATAAACAAAGCAAAACAAATAATTGATTAGTCACATGCCAATCTTGTAACCAGTGTATGTTTTTTTTATTTTGGCCTACAAAAATGGTAACATTTGTATTTCCTCGTCCAAAGTAAGCCTGCTGATTTGCCGGGGCCTACAGGAGGTTAGGCTCTGTGTTGCTGCCACACATTAGAGTACCAATTATCAATCAAAATGCTGCTATTAAAACCTAATCTTGGTTTGTTTTTTTTTAATAGGCTTCAACCATAAGTTCAGTGTTGCCGCTGCCAGAATGACTTCATGAATTCAACTAGATATTATTATAAATTATCACTGCTGAATATATATGAAACATGAAGAGTGGTACAGATTGTGTTCTGAAAGTCTACTTGTTATTCAGTTTCCTGTTTATTTTTAACTATATATTTGTAACATTCGTTGAGAACTACAGTATGCTACACGATGTACCATAATAATAATAATAATAACTTTATTTATCCACGGATACTCATTTCAATCTTTTTACAACTGATATTATAAAAGAAAGGGAAAACAAACATGGAAAAAATAAAAACCTACCTACCATCATGTCCTTTATTCGAACACTGTATTTATCTTTCTTTGATGATTTATAATATATATATATATATATATATATCTGTCTCTTAT